TAAAAAATATTAATTTTTTCTTACCCACTCTAATGCATATAAATACCAAAATTATAATTTAAAAGTTTTTACTGCGACTTCTAGTTTCATAAAACTTCCAGATTTTCATTAATCTCTCAAACTCTTAAAAAATACTTCCGAAAATTCAACGCCTCTTATGTAAACCATCAAAGCCATCCACAATCACTTTGCACACTTTGAAATCTCAAAATCCCCCAGAATTTCATCATAATTGCCAATTTTTGTATTTCAATATACTATGTATTGTACATTTCTGCCATTTCGAGAGTCAATTCATTGTTTGCCGTCTGCTTTAAGCCGCTAAGAGAGTGGCTTTCAAATTTATGCCTTTTCCAACCTTTCTTATGCAAACATAAGAATTTGCTGTTGCTGTACTAAGCTAGTTTTCTCGAAATCTCTCTGCGGTAGAAATATGCATAAACAAACAGAATAATAGCTGAGGCAAGAAAAGGTCTGAAATGAAAAGCAATTAAAAGTACTAAAGAGCAGCAGCAAAATCCTTTACAAAACAAACATAAATACAAACATACAGACATTTTTTCATAAAAGAACTATAAAAGTCCCTGTAGGAAATTTAAGACCTTTAGATTCAAATTCTAAGCTAATTTTGGCTAGTCCTTTGCTCATTACCTGTATTCATCTATAGTAATAATACAAAATTTTGGTTTTTAGATTTGGCCAGACACCTTTTTTCGGAGGTCCTCCTGCATATCGGGTGCTGGATCGAGAGAATCCAAAATTTTTCAAAACTAATATTAAAGTAATTTAATTTAATTTTTTATTTATTAAATAAAATGCCTTTTTAAACAAAAAAAAAATCACAAGAAGCATTTTCTCTGACTTGCAAGTAGGTATAACCTTTTAAAGCTAATACATTTTTAACAAAAAAAAACACTTTTTCTAGACCAAAAAAAATTTCAGTTAGGTTAAGTTCGCTGAGAAGCAATTAGGTTGTTTTCGGGCCAGTTTGAAACTACTTTATTCCGTAACTGTGCATACTCGTCTTCAACTCGTCGTCCAACTAATACAGGAAACAATTAAAAGTATGGTTTATTTCGGACTAGGTTGAAACTAGGCGATTATCAGTAACTCATATCGGTAACTGTTAGCTTCAAATATATGTGTATCTCATCGACAGTTACAAAAAATTTACTCTAACTCCTCGGAGAAGCTATAGTATTAAATTTGTGTACTCGGCGTAGTTCGATTTGTACCATATCAGTATCCGTAGGCTCCAAATATACGTGGTTCACGTCGCTAATTACTAAAATCTGTTTTAACTGTGTGCAGCCACCATATTAAGTGTGTCTTTTCGGGCCTGTTCGAAACTAGTGCTATTAGTACCATATCATTGTTCATAAATCTCGAGCAAAAGTGCATTTTGCAGCCAATTGCATTAAATTCGGCTGTAACTAAATATTTTTCTATTCAAATTTATTTTTATTTTGTTTCGTAAGCTTGCATAAATTTTCCTACGGGGTTGCTTTTCAAATATAAAATCAAAACCAGTGCATTTCCGTTACGGTTATTCAATATTTCAATTACGTATGCCACAAAAACAATGTAGGTAAAGTAAAGGTAGGTAAAGTGGCTGTCATTCAAAAACAATGTAAGGTGTATAAAAATTTTGAAAATTCCTCACATCTAACAAGTTTGTCAGCGACCCACAGAAGTTATCGCTTCAGGCTCGACAAACACTCGAAAAGTCTGCAACAACGGCAATGACAGCATACTGATTTTAGTCAGCTGTTGTTCACATAGACTTAACAAATATATATGTATATATATACTTTTTCATAAACCTACACACTTTTTCGTAGGCATACAAACATACTCTTTCTTATACATATATATGTAGGCATGATTCCGCATAAGCCGCCGCCATTTTTCCACAACAAATAGAAAATTTGTGGGAGTGTTAAATGAAAATTAGTGAATTAATTACGTTTTGGTTGAGTTAAGAGCTCGGAAGTAGTTAGCATGCGCGTGGTGTAGGTATTTGTTTACAATTGAATTGAGATTTTTAATCCAGCTCTAAACGTAACCTACCATAATTTAATTGGTTCACATAAAGCGCATGGATCCCAGTCGAATTTTAATTTCATTACAAATTTCTCCTGAATTGAGGTTAAAACCGGTGTGGATTATTTTAATTAATTAGAAGAAATGAGTAAGGTTTGTGGTGTAAAGTTTTCCTCTGTGTGTGTGTGGTTGCAAGTGTTCCAAAAGTAATTTGGTTGCAAAGTTATTTCGTTTTATGTCAACAAAATGTATAAACCGATGCGAAATAAGCTGGAAACTGCTGTCAAATATTAATAAAATATAATGAATGAAGTATAATTATAGAATTTATTTAACGTTATTGCGCCTATTTTGAAAACCACAACTGCTCATCGAACTTATTTTCAATATGATAATTGAAATTTAGAACTTCTTCTAAGAGACATTAAGGTGAAACTAGTCGCTCAGTTTTTGAGATATCGCTCTGAAATTTTGCGCACCTTCTTTTCTCCACAAGGAGCTGTTTATTTGTCGAAAACGCCAATATCGGACCACTATAGCATATAGCTGCCATTAAAACTGAACGATCAAAATCAAGTTCTTGTATGAAAAACTTTTTTATTTGACAAGATATCTTCACGAAATTTCACATGAATTATTGTCCGAGTCTACAATTTCATGCCCGAACAAATGGTTAAGAACGGAGCACTATAACATTAAGCTGCCGTACAAATTGAACGATCAAAATCAAGATAATGACATTTGTATACCCTTTTATGCTATTAAACATACAACTGTGAAGAGTATTACAGCTTCGATGCAGCCGGCGTCAACGTTTTTTCTTGTATGTGGTGTTTTAGACTAAATTGAGAGAAAATCAAGAAAACTATTGTATAGAGTCAATAAACTTTGCCATATTAAGTGACCAAAAGGCGCGTGGTCCCATACACTAAAGATCTTCTACTTTCATTATTGTAATTTCGCCGACATATGGCCTACATACCATACATATATTGGACTGTGGCACAATATACTCGTACATAACGCGAAACATATTTTCAATCAAGTTACGTATACGCACTGTCCTCCAAAATTTTTGCTGCCTCAAACTTACTAATAAGCATGTTACGTATACGCAGTGTTAACCACAGCGTGATTTTAACTTAATCTAATTAGTTGCTAAAGAATTTTCGGAAAGCTTTTATTAACTTTTCATTTATATAAAAACCATATATTATTTCCGTAAAACTCCTCATTAAAATTAATTTGCAACCACAAGTTGCCAACTTTGTAAAAATATGTCCAAGTGCAAACTAATGTTAGCAGACACCGGGGAAGAGAGAAAATAAAGAAATTTATAAGTTTCACCTCCAGTTTGTATGCTATACACTGAGTGGTAGAATTTGTGGTTATCTATCACTACACATATATACATAGCTTTTGTTAGATTTGTTAGTGTTACTGAAGTAACTGAGAGGCAAACCATGCTAGTTATTTCCACAAACTGAATTTTTATGTCGCCAGCGCTGCATGTGAATTTTGTTTAAAATTTTCAACAAAATTCTAGTCAAAATATTTGCACCGACAACTCTTAACCAACGTACACACAATGGAATTTCAATGCAGGTATAGGAGCAAGCGTGCACAAGTGAGATATTGTGTATATATGCTGGTAACAACGAGTACCTGCCTTGTTGGAAAAAATTTCAAGAAACAAATTTAAATACTGAACCATGGGTTGTATGTAGGCTATAGTTTCTATACAACCGATTTTAGTGGTTTTAGCTGTGCATTTTCTAAGTTCGCAGGTCACAAGTAAAGATTTCACAAATTTTGGTGCTTGCAGCAGTATAATTCCAGAAGTTATAACAAAAAATGTCGTTTTCGAACAAGCGTTTGTATGGGCGGTATGTGTTTCACTCGTTCAATTTTGATGATTTTCACCACACGTTTACTGTTTATCATAAGTAAATAAATTACAAAATAACGTGTTCGTAGCTAGTTAATTGAAGAAGTTATAACAAAAAATGTCGTTTTTGAACAAGCGTTTGTATGGGCGGTATGTGTTTCACTCGTTCAATTTTGACGATTTTCGGTATACCTTTCCTACTCATCATAAGTAAATATAGCACAAAATGTGTTGTTAGTAGCAGTAAATTTCCAAAAATTATAACCAAAAATATAATTTTTGAACGTTCGGCTGTATTGGCAATTGCGATCTCGACGATTTTTACTGTCTATTTTTTATACATGTTAAGCAGAGATTGTACAAAATTTGTTGATTTTATGTACATATATGCCTAGTTTATGAATTTTGGGAAAAATTTTCCCTTTTTTTTTTTTTTTGTATTAAAATAACATATTTCGAACTTTTTTTTAAAATTGCCTAAAAAATTTCATGTTTCTAGTAACTCAGAACCTCTAATATTATTCCAAACGGGCTTGAACAAATCTATGGTATATATGTATATTTGTATAATAAACTTCCCAAAACTAAACTTTCAAAGTGCATTCCATTGCACGTTCACGCAAAACTTGTGCAGTCCGAAATAATTTATGTACACATTATATAAATAAATACATATTTATTATATTTCAAAAATATACCTAACATAGTTGTCACATGTTTTATAAGCTAAAATTGAACTTTTATCTATTGTGGCGCATCAGCAATATACAAAATTGTTGTGATTTGTTGATTTTGGTTCGGCAACAGCTCAAAATACGCCTAGCATACGGAAACTTATCCAACAGCCGCATACAATGCAAGCGCATATGCCCAACGAAACCACAAAATTCACATTCCATAACCGCTTTGACACAAGCAAATAACTCGGTTATTTATCGGAAATAATTGTTTATATAAAAACAAAAATATTAAGCGTCATTTTGTCATATAATTGTAATTGAATTTCGTTGTTTATCCTTGCTGATTTACAAAAACCTTTATTGATGTTGTATTTTACTCTTATTTGCAGGAGGTCGGCAGCATTATTGGCAAAAAGGGCGAGATTGTGAACAGATTTCGTGAGGAGGTAATTTTATTAACTATTTTTTATTTGATGTTTATATAAATTAATATTATTTTATATTTCCAAATGTCTTTCGTCACATTTTCATCGGCATAGTCTGGCGCAAAGATCAACATCTCGGATGGTTCATGCCCGGAGCGCATTGTCACTGTGTCGGGCACGACCAGCGCGATCTTCTCGGCGTTCACGCTCATCACAAAGAAGTTTGAAGAGGTAATGTAGATAGATTTTAATGTCTGGAAAAAGAAAGAGTGGTTGGTAAAAGTTAGTTATTTTTAGAATATTTTACAGACATTTTTTTAATTTAAATATATATATTTTTTTATTTTATTTTTCGTAAATCTTAATTTATATATATTTTTTTATTTTATTTTTCGTAAATCTTAATTTATATATATTTTTTTATTTGTATATTATTTCTGGGAGGCCCAATTTGCTTTTTCCATTAAATTAAAAAAAAACATTTATTTTTTGTTTGTGTACATAAAATCTTAAAAAAACATTTATTTTTTGTTTATGTACATAAAATCTTAAAAAAAAAAATAGAAATCTAAGCTTAGAAAACTCCAAGCATTGCTTATAGTTTTGTTTTAACTACTGAAAATATATTAAAAATTAAATAAAATAATATCTATGCCCTGAACGGGATATATAAAGTTAGAGCCGCAATACAATATATATAATGATCAAAATAACGAGCTGAGTTGATTTAACCAAGTCATTCGAGGGTATAATTCCCTGAATTTTTGAGATATCGTTCAAAAAAAAGTCCTTACATGTAAAACGTTTTTTATTTGCAAGATATCTTCACAAAATTTGGCATAAATTATTGTTCAAAGCAACACTATTATCTCCAAACATATCGTGCAGATCGGACGACTACAGCATACAGCTGAGATACAAACTGTCTAATCAAGATAAAAGAAGATAAAGATTTTTACGCTATAATGCCATAAGAAATACAACTAGGAAGGATTTATAGTTTCGTTCTTTCTTGCTTTTAGTTTGATTTTCACTACTGTAAATGTATGAAAAATTATTAAATTATTTTACTAAAATTCAGTTCAGTAATAATTTTATTAAAAATATTTGAAATTTTTTTTAATTTTTTGCTTAACCTTTTTTCAATAATTTCTCTTTCCCATAAAAACAAATTTTTTTAAATTTAAATTAAATATAAATTTATTTACTTAAATTTCTTTATGTAAATTCTAAATATTTGTTAATTCAATATTTCAAAAATGTTGCCTCGAATGCGTTTTAAACTTTCAACGCCAATAAAGTTGATTTTAATTGCGTTTACATCAAACGACACACACACAAATATAGTAGCAATGACATACACATATAAATTAATCTCAGCATAGCCCACCCACCACTCTTTACTGACTAAGCTAAAACTTGTTTGCATATTTAATACATACAATTCTTTTTAGTGGTGCTCACAGTTCAGTGATGTTGGCAAGGTTGGCAAAACTCAAATACCAATACGTTTAATTGTGCCCGCCAGTCAATGTGGATCGTTAATTGGTAAAAAAACACAAAAAAAAAATACTTAAACACACACTTATACTTGTATCCAGCACAATTTACACTAATGTAATTGAAATATCTCTTTACTCCTTTTCCTTGTTTTTTTTCGCTTGTCTTCTGGCCGTGTGTGCAGGCAAAAGTGGCTCAAAAATCAAGGAGATACGTCAATCCACTGGCTGTTCGATTCAGGTTGCCAGCGAAATGTTGCCAAATTCAACAGAGCGTGCCGTCACTTTGAGCGGCACTGCCGAGCAAATAACCCAATGCATCTATCAGATTTGTCTCGTTATGCTGGAGGTGAGTATTGAATTAAATTGCTGGCTGGCTGGCAGAGTTGCAAGACGCAAACAAGCACACAGTTCATTCTATACAAGCTAACATGCTTACATACATATTGGCTCCCATTTCAGTTAGTATGTATATATGTATATGTTAGGTGTGTGTGTTTGCGCCACTGCACTTTGCCCAGTTTAATTAAATTTACCTATTTTCTAAACACACGTTTGTGTAATTCATCTACAATAACAACAACAATTGGACCAACAGTCACCACCAAGGGGCGCCACCATACCGTATCGGCCAAAACCGCAAGTATCTGGACCAGTCATTTTGGCAAACGGACAAGCCTATACCATACAAGGCAACTATGCTGTACCCGCACAAGAGGTAAACTAACCGCACATCTATGCATGCTTACCCATACATATATATATCTATATATGCATACATATATATATTTACACCTATGTTAAAGGAAATCTTCAAGTAACACATACATGATATACATACACATATACAATGAAACACCTGTGATAATAGTAATAATGCGCCTGCCCATACGGACACGCACATATGTGTTGATGCTTACCACTGCTGTGCCACACTGCTTCTGACCCGACACCCAATTAATCGGTTCTTTATGGGTAGCATGTGGTGTGGCACTAAGCATATTGCGCCTGTGTGCGTGTGTGTGTGCGCTAGTTGCCTGTGTGTTGCAGTCTCAGACATACATAAACGCATACTATTTACAATTATCCTGTCTACTTATACACTTAATACCATATTTATTTCTATGTCTGTAAATTTATGCCACACGCTCAACTCACATACGCATATATACATATGTACATTCATGCATACATATATTACTTTAATATCTATGTATGGGTGTATGTACTTTGGTGTATGCCATTCACCATATTATTTTTAAAATTTATTTTTTTGGAATTATGTTGCTCAACTTTTCCACATATATTTTTAATTAATTTTTAGTTTTTATTATTTTTGGTTTTGTTTTACTTTTTAATTATGTCTTGTTTTTGTTAAAATTTTTTTTTTTTGTAGTTTTTTTTTAAATTATTTATATATTTTTAATTTATTTTGTTTTTTTTTTTAATTAATTTTGTTTTTATTTTTTAATTTTTTTTTTTTTTTTGTTAATTTTTGTTTTTTTTTTGGTTTCTTGTTTCTTTAATTTTTTATATATGTTTTATTTTTTCTTTTTATTTATTTTTTCTTTTTTTTTATATATTTGTATGTGTATATCGTTTATTTAAATTTTTTCTATTTGGTTTTTGATATTTGTTGCCCATTTTTGCCAATATTTTTCTTTTAATTTGTTATAATTATATTATATGTATATATATATATTTTTTTCTAATTTTTTTTTTGAATATTTTTTTGAATTTTTTTGTCACCATTTATTAATTTTATTTTCAAATATATTTTTACTTTCATATCACTACTTATTTTATATCAATATGGTTTTTTTATTTTTTTTTTGTTTTTTAACATTTTTTTCAATGTTTTTCTTTTAATTTTTTTATTTATTATTTTTTTATCTTAATTTTTATTTATTTTTTTATAATTTTTTTTAAATATTTTTTTATTTAGTTTTTACAATTTTTTTTTTAATTTTTTTGCCACCATTTTTTATTATTATTTTTTTTTAATGTATTTTTACTTTCATGTCACTACGTATTCTTCATAACCTTTTCTTTTACTCACATACCTTGTTTTTACTGTCTGTGTGTCAGCTCTACAGCCTCGGCTGTCTGCCATATGCGCCAGTCAAATAAAATTAAATTCCTCGTCGTCTGCGTATTTTCTTAGCAAATAAGTGCCTGCTCTATTTTTATTATTTTTTTTAAGTTTACTTTTCAGCTTTTCTTCCACCTCTTCTTCATCTTTTTTACTGTTCATTACGCTCCACAATTTACTCTTATTACATTTTTGTGCTCTTCATTTGTTCATTACAAATTTACTTTGTCAACTAAATTTTTGCTTTGCCTACTATTTATACACATACATACAAATGTATACTATATATTATATACATACGAGTATATAAATTTTTTTATTTTCTGAATCTTCACAAGTTCTCCACAACTTTTGCTATCATACGTTTATTCATATAATAATGTTATTACTTCGCTTCGCTCCATTTTGCTATCCACTCTTGTTATACTCTCAACTGTACACCCACTTTACTTAGCTTCGCTCTCCGTCCCCCTTCTATCTCTATTGACTTATGTTCACTTACAATGTGAGAATTCTGTGCGCTTGTACTTTTTTTCGATTTGTTTTAATATCTTCTATTTTTATTTCTATGAATTTTTGCTTTCTGCCACCACTGCCCTCGAACCACTACCATAAACAAACTTAGTTTTAGTTAGTGTATATAATTTAATTTGATCAACTTAAGAGTAAAGAGAAGTGTGTAAAAATTTATATAAAAGCATTTTTCAATATTTTTTTTACTCTCTTTGTTTTAATATTTTCATGTTAACCCTTTTTTATTCAAATATGCCATTGCAAAAATGACCAATCTTTCGTTTTGTTTTTTAAAAGAATATACTAAGCCTTTACTAACATAATATCCGTCGGGTTGAAAAGCAATGCTGTCAGTTTATTTATATTTATGGATATAAACAAGTTTTCAATTAAAAAAGGACATAGAGAGCTTGATTATAATTACGAGATTCGTGGTTCAATTTTTCTTAACGAAGACATCTCCCAGCAAGCAACGACGGAGCTGCGTGAGTCGCCAGTTGTTTGTGGCTCTCCAAATACATCTACAACGCTCTTTCAAAGTAGACCTGACTGATTGGCCTCTCATTTTGTAAGTTTTGTTGCAAAGCCATCAAGTCATACGCATTGAAGCTGTGCTCTTCGAACCTTATAAACTCTCACATAGTAACATAGGTTTCTTTCAGCCCAGCATATCAATAAATTTGAGTTAAAAAGTTTTTCAAAACTGCTCGCTCAGAAGCATAAAAAAGTCTTCTCCTAATTATTATTTAAAATCTGCCAAATTTTACTCGCTGGTCCGCATTGCTTTGAGATCACCACCTACCAACTCGTCTCCACTATTTTGTTCCTCTAATGTTATTAATAACCCTGTATTTCAAACCTAATCTCCACTTGTACACCCAATATCTGTAGGCATTGCCATTTAAACAAATTTGCTATGTATTTACTACAAAAAGAAAGCATTTTATATATATATATAAACTGTAAGCATATTTTTGATTACTTATATTTTTTTCTTTTTTGTATTTTGTTTAATATTTTCTGCACTTTCTCTTAGGATAAGTTCAACGTCGTTACTTTGTCGCTTGTTCGTTCGCTCGCTAGTGTAAGAACAAAAAGCCTGTCTCACCAATATCAAAATATATATATATATGTATATGAAACAGAATAACAAGACTTTAGAGGCTTTATATTAAATCACTTATAAAGAATCAAAAGAAAACTACACAATCAATACAGAAAATTTTCAAAATGAAAATGTTATGCCACCGCAGAATGTGTAACAAGGATTGGTTGAGAGAGAGAGAGAGAGAGAAAAAAAATATATATATATCTATATAAAGAAAGCGATCGTCTTGGCAGTGCTTGATTCACTCACAAGGTCTACTAGAAAGTAACAAAGTCAAAAAAACAAAAAAAACGAAACGGATATACAGCTCACGACCCCATTTATTCTGCTTTCGTTCTACTCGTCTACTTATTTTGGGGCCCGCAGGGAAATTTAAGTACTGTTTAAATAGCTCTAACTGAAAATGCAGAACTGCTACTCATTAGCACGAGGGCTCGTGCGCAGTGTTGGAAAGTATGTGTATACTCAGTTTACTACTACAACCCAATCACTACTTGTGTTTATTTTGTTTTTGTGCCACTATAATACCCTTAAAATAATTATTAAAAAAATAAAATTTATATAAAATGAATTTTTACGCAAAAGTTTAAATACAAAACCATTAAACCTCGTACCTTTCAATAAATTCTATTTACAAAAAAAAAAAAAAATTATTAATAATTCATACATATACCTCCATACCGAAACAGCCTATAACCTGCCTACATAAAGGTGTGTGCCTCTAATTTTTGTTAGTAAATTGCTCATTTACGCAGCCAAAGACGCAGTACGTTCTCATCAGTTCTTCAAGCAATGTATACTACCTAAAAAATTTTTTATAAAGCGGTTTTCCCACGTTTTCCATCCGTTTATTTCGTTCAGTGTTAACTATACTTAGTAGACCCTCAATTCAATATATATTTTTTATTATAAATAAATATTTAACATTTTTAGCTACATCTTATTTTATCACCAAATAAAAAGTAAATAAATAAAAAAAATTACATTTTTAACTTGAATATGCATTCAAGCATAAATAAATTAATTGTTATACAATATATTTACCTGCCCGAGCCCTCACTCGCAAATATCTCAAGTATTATAAAATTAACCATTTTTCTTTTCAAACCATCTGTAGCCATACGAAATCTTTACAAAATTTAAAAATAATAAAAATAAAACCTTTTTAATATATTAAAACATAAATAAAAATTACTCCAATACCGTTACTTTTCACACCGACCTTACCACATACAACACATACCATATTTATCTATACAGTACCTTTAGATAATTGACAAAACAGCACAAAACACACTCCACTTACAGCAAATGATTTCACAACGTCCATGACTTAACTACTACTGACCTTATTTTTTTTTTTTTGTTTTTTTTTGCAGTCTCACATGAAAGCTGTTAGTCTACCATATTCTCTCCTCTTAGCCATGACTGTCCTTTCTGATTCGCTTCTCACCAAAATATCTCCTTCGTTAGTATCGTATTACGCCAGTGAGCGACAACCCCCTAACTCCACTCGTTCTCTGTTCAACATTGTCCCCACTTTTCCACATTCGTATCGATTCGTAAAGTATTCTGCGTGTTTTAGCTCTTGCCCAATCCATAGTATATTGCTCCTGCCTGCGGGGCTGAGTTCTTAGTCGTTCATATAAACATTTCAATCAAATTAGCGCTTTGTAAAATGCTTTAATCAAGTTTGGGAACCGGAAATGTGTATATTCAGCTAAAATGCCCTAAAAGTTGTTACATTTGTAAATTTTCATTATTTGTTTTTATCAAAATTACCACTATTTTTACAAATACTACCAGCATTAATTTTCGAATAATGGTTTCCTTGTCTTAAATTATTGAAATTTCCTTTTTTTTAAAACATAGGCTTAGGAAAAAATATATAATCTGCCGTACGTTAAAGTCAAATTGTCAATACTTATATTTAATATATAAAATTAATAAAAATAAAAACAAAATCATATTTTTCTAACTCTATAAGATTTTAAAAAATTTTCATCCAAAAAATCATCTTAAAAATTAATCCCAGTATTAATTATAGTAATTACTTTTTATCCGTTCTACACTAACTACCATTCTAAAAGTTCCGCTTTGGTAATTTTGTAATAGATAGATTAGAGTTAAAAATTTTAACACAGTTCTAAAATTATTTCCATAAGTTAACATTACTTTATTATTGCACTCTTTGATTATTTCAACTGATTCAAACTATTATATAGTTATAATGCTTTCTTATAAATAATATATTATTATTTATATTTTACCTAAAATAGCTCCTTTTGACTGCCTTAGGCAGCTATTTCATTCTCAATAGCTCATTTGGGTTTATAACCTTACTTCACATAGTCTTAAAGCATTTCGTCAATTATTCGATGAAAGTGCCTAATTCTAACTATTTAAAAAATTCCCCCTATTATTAGGAAAAAATATTATTCACGAGTTAAAACGTTTTTCGTATCATATTCAAACCTTAAATATCATTTTTGTACGCTGAAACACGTCATAGAAAATTTCCCACTATTTAACTGAAAAGTTATTTTTCATAGTTAAAACAATATTTTCTCTTCTTAAACCTAAAATGTTTCTTCTTCATAATCATTTTGAAAAAACTTGTAAATTCCTTATATATCTTTTTTTAAAACCAGTATTATTTTTTTAAAAATCCCAGTATTTTTTTTTTAAATCTCTGTATTATTTTTTTTTTTTTAATTCCGAGTATTTCGTTGTCTTACAATCTAATACACTAACAGTAATTCTGTACCGTTATATTGCATAATTGTGAGTTTCTCATATTTCTTAAAGAAATTTTCCGGTATTTCTTTGATTACAATCTAACATATTATATATGTATACTCGTACATTTATCTTTTTTTCACCACACCATAGCTTATCATCGAGACTCAAAACTATGTCACAACTTCGCGAACTATTTCAACTCTACCTTACCACTATTATTAAAAATACAATAATAACCTAAAAATTGCGTCGCCAATCTCTTGTATATTTGTTTGTTTGCATACCTGGGTAGCTTTTCTTACTTTGCAAAACCAACCGGCCATCAACTCCCTCACCAATCCTGAGTATCACATTCTCTCTGTGGTGGAATATTTCCCTATATTAGCCTACTAAAGTCGCAGAGACAAATCATGCACTACTTTCTAGGAATATCGTAAAAAAAAAAAAGAATCCTCCGACCTGACCTCTATGTGTTGCATTGAAAAACAATTGTCTTATACATATTCATGATAGCTTGAAGCAAATGCCCCGTATCTTACAACTCTCGCCTCTCTACATATGTAACTGGGTTCTGATTTTATAATTAAACACGAATTTGCGTATCATTTCCTCCTTAGTTGAGTTATATAGCATATGATTTGATTTGATTTACCTGATTTGTACATATATATAATATATACTTTACTTTATGACTTCTCATTGTGTTGAACCGCCGACCTACGCTCTCTCTCTAATAATTTTTCTACATTGTTGAATTTATTTACCCACTCTTATAAATGTTAACCCCGAACCCACACCGCTTAGATAGTGAAGAACTGACTTGTTTTATGAAAAAATATATGTCTTTATTCTGGCAAGAGATCTCTTTTAATTACAACACATATTTTCTTTATATTCTTTTCTTATTGTTGTTAAAAATCGTGCAAAAATCAAATACAAAAAAATCGTTTAACTCACCAAAAAACAACAACAACAACAACAAATGTAATAACTACTGCTACTACTATGTACTACCATCACTACTATTCGTTACCACCACTCACCAACACCAACCAACTTCTGCTACTACTATTACTACTACTACTACTACTACTACAACAAACGTCGAAAATACGCGGCGTTGCCACATCTGCCCGCTCGCCTGTCTAACTCTTCAAATTGGCCATGCAAATGCAACAAAATGCAAATTGTTAATGCAAATCAAAAATGAACTACAACACAAAATAGACATGTCCCGTATTTCCGCTGGCCTTGGCCGCCGGTGGCCTACACGCTGGTATCTCAGGTTTGACGGATCCTCTCTTGAAAGGGGCACATTTGCAAGGAGCGGTGCCGGCCCACCATCATCTACAGCATATACCCGATGTGAGTTGCATTTGTTTACTACAACAACAACAAAAGAAAAACAACCAACCAAAAGTAGACGCAAAGCTTGTCATATACCGTATTTTCCAAAAACAAAAAAACTTTAAAAAAAAGTAGTAATGTTTTGGAAGCTCTACTGTGATCTTTGTGGTTAAAATTTTATAAAAACTTTTTCACAAAATCATAAAAAAAATACAATCCCTATCGCCGCTATACAGGTATTTTATGCGCACCCCTTAATTTCCTCCCCCGCCCTCTACCACCTTACACCAAAACCAACTCTATTTAGCTTGCTTGTGGTTCACACACGCACACATTTGCTGAAGAGGTGTGTGAAATCACATCATATGAGCCCCGCCCATCAACCCCTTTCCACTAGTTAGTTGTTTTTCCGTAGTTGCTTTAGAAAGTGCCCCCGGTTTCAGCAGCAGCGTTTTAGAACTACATAAATTTCATTATTGCTTTATGCTTCCACCCTGTACTTGTACCTGTAGCCTCGCCCCCACCCCTTACCTTGAGGTTTGTACCAAAATGTTGGTGTTTTTTGTTTTCTTCACCGGTTTTGTGTTTTGCATTTTACCCCTCCTGGAATGGATTCGTGAACTTGCGTTAAATTTTACTATATGTATTTACTGTTAATGTGGTAATTTATGCGTGGTCCAATCAGTAACTTCGAAAAGTCACCTTCAAACTATTTTTTTCTGGTGACATCGAAAAAAAAAAAAAAAACTATGTTTAGGGGACTTTACTACCCATATAAATAGATGTTTGTAAACAATTTTTTTTTTTTAATATTTAAAAAATATATGTTTTTATAGAATCCCCTGCCCGCATTATAGTGTTCTCCGGCAGAAAACATTTTTATGTGGTCTAAGCAAGAGTATACCTCGAGGTATAAAAAAACCTAAAACATAACCGCCACAATTCTTTGCTGGTTGACAGTGTTTTTCGAAGAAGATTATCAAGTAAAAGACGTGGGATTTTATGTGTTGCATATTTCATTTGTTATAAATATTTAAGCTAAGCAAATTTTTTAGTAAAAAAAATAAAATTTTTTGTTAACTGACCACCAGTTTTGCAGCCGATAATATAGAAGAAAACCGCAAGTTTCGCTCGAGCTTCTGGTATATAAAATAAAACCAAGTGCTATAAACATAGGATAGTAAACATGATGCCCTCTAAGTATAATTTACAATTTTTTCGTTGTTTTCCCGAAAAAAAAAATTCGAAATTTGCTTACTTTTTTCAGATTCAAATTCAGATTTTAGTGGCAGCCCGCTTTTATCCAAATTTCACGATTTTTTTTTTATGACTCGAAGCTCGAAAATCGTAAAATTCTATTTTACAAACGGGTCACGCCTAAAATTCTGTATTTAATAGTACGCCATCAAACAAGCCTGTCTAGAAAAATTTAATTAATTCTAACGCATAAATTACCACATTCATGCTCGACTGATCTACCAACCGACCCCTTTTGACCCCACAGCATTTTTGCACTTCTAGTAGTCCTTTCTATATTTAGTATGTAATATATATTTCTATATATTAAGTAATTTGTTGTTTCTGTACTAAGAAATTGCCGTGTATATTTTATTGTTATATTTATGTATGTAGGTTTCTACTACATATATGTACATAAATTTATGCGCATTTCTTGTTCTAATTGTTGTTCTTGTTGTTATGTCCCATGGAATGTGCCCCTGCCCCTGTAATTATACCCCCGTAATGTTGTACTTAATCGTAATACCATTTATTAACGTGCTATGAACTATTGTCATAAGCAATTCTTCCCTTCATTTACACATATAAACATATTTATACACGCACACTTACACAAAAAACTGCATATTCTTACATTTCCACTTTTTAAATACATATGTGTACATATACCACAAAGATATGTCTACCACACTTACATTTCTCAATTCACATTCGAACACTAAGCTGCATTTCTAAAAAATTTCTTGCCTATCACTATTATCTCTATGTCGATAAATGCATGTTTTTGTAAAGAGTGAAAGAAAAAAATACTTTCATTTCATTTTTTATGATTTCTAGTGTAAATTTTAGATACTATAGAAAAAAAATTGAATATAGGTAAAATAGAGGAATAATTTTTTCTTTCGATAACATTTTTTTTTTTCGAAATTAAAAGATGTCTTGTGGCTACTGCCATTCGTTGACTGGAATTTCCATTGCCTTATAGTATTCATAGCTCTTTGCGAAAAAGATATTTATATATATTTTTATACATCTAATTAGGAGAATCTCGTTACAAATAACGGCTGAGGTAAGATTATAAACGAAATATATAATAGCTACAAATTTCGAGTGTATTTTTATATAAGAAAACTCAAGAAGTTATAGCCACTCAGAAAACCAGTCAGAAAAACACCTTGTTTTGTGAACTTTTTCGAAGAGACATTTAATTTAGTAAATAAATAAAAATGCTGTACATTTACAGAATTTAATGTAGCTTAAATAATTGCCAATTCATTTTCAAAATTTTAATTTTTCTTGATTTCATAGCCGTTCAACAAAAGGAACTCCGAAAACAATTGTCAAGCGGTGAGGTAGTTTTTTCCGCTTAAAATTAAATCAAATCCAAAAATTAAAACATTTTAATAATACAATAGATTAAATCAGGTAAAGATCAAAAGACTATACAAAATTTTGATTATTGACAAAATGGCGGTTACCTAACAAAAAGGTCGATTTTTCTGGAATATTTACACCTCAGAGTGGCTTAAAAAATCGAAATTATTATCAAACATTTTATACTTTCGATCATTAGCTGACATTTATAACTAAGAAAATCGTGTGAAAATTCAAATTTTTCAGCTGTTTCTGAAAAAGATTTCCACATCGACTCTGAAAACAACTTTACGAGAGAAAAACGCAGTAAAGTAATGTTTATTCATATTCGCTGGAAATAAATTACAGAACCTATCAGATCATACTGTATTGAGATAGATATATATTGAAGTGTATGTCAAAAAATATTTAAAGCTTGTATAAAATTGTCAATTATGCTGTGATTCAATAGAAAAAATATGTATCGACTGATTTTCAGGGGAACTACAAACTACTAAAGCCAGATTAGGTCAATGAAAAATATATATAGAGTCTTGGACTCAAATCAGAAATTCAACAGCTTCTCGATGTTGCGAAAAAAACGTTCTATAATTGTAAAGCGAGATTAAGTCAAGGAATATATATATATATATTTAGGGGGTCCAAAAATCTTTTCCAAAAGCCTCTCGTTATATCGAAAAGAACCAAAATTGTGAATTCCCCCACGTTCGCCAATAGAACTAAAGCCTTTTCTAATAACTTTCTTAGACTTTTGATATTCAAATTAGTTAGTCGATATATACATATATAAATAATAATTTTTAATAGAAAATAATAATATCTTTAAAAAGTGAAAGGCTAAGCGGTTTCGAAAGGTAAAGGTGAAAGTATTGGATAACAATATTAAATAAGTATGTTGTGGCTTTAGAATATTATAGTATACCTATATCCTAATTATTTTATAATTAAATACAAAAAATTAAATATATATTTTAGACAAAAAGTATCAAAGAGGGGTTTTTTTTCAAATGAATGGCCATAAATTAGGCATATTATTAAATTATAGAATCATTTTTTTTTCTAAGTCAAGACTTTTATAGAATAAATAAAAAATTATAAAATTTTGTTTGAAAAAATCTGAAAATTATATACATAAATAATTGCACAAATTTCCTTAATGCCTTAATTTTTAATACGAGTATATAAATATAGAAACTTTAGAACCAAAAAAAAAATGTATGCTATATTTTCAATAAATCTGCCAAAGCTCACAAGTCTGCGCTCTTACTCACTCCCCACAGCACTACACACCACCAAATACAAAACTAAATTTCAAACCAACAGCTTCACCAACAACCGTTACAATTAACTGTCTTTATTTTAAAGTTAGTTTTGTTTAAAAGAACAAAAAAAAAGTTTCTAAAATGCATACTAACAACTTTGGTTACAACAACTGTTATTGTTGCTGCAGAAATCCCCGCTCTGTAATTGTTGTGTTTTGTATGTTCTTTTGTAAATATATTTACGTAATATATTTGTAGCATTAAATAATTTGATTTTTCACTTTGAAATGGTTTTAATTAAATTTTTAACAAAATTTGTTTAGAAATGAAACTGAAAAAAACAATAAAAATGTATTTTCTATTTTCCATTTCCTTTCTTCCTATCTCCCCACACGCGCACGCGCACACATACGACGCACCTCAACCAACCACAAACTTAGGTGGCAAAGAATCCATTGGCTAGCTTGGCAGCGTTGGGTTTGGCTGGCATAACACCCACCAATACCGGTGGACTGAATCCCACAGGTAAGTTGTTGTGTTTTTGAAAGATAAACACTTTCTCGAATTTTTTGTATTAATATTTTTTTTATATTTTTTTTCTAAAGCAGCTTTGGCCGCCTTAGCTGGCTCACAGCTACGTACAGCCAATACAAGTCGTACACAACAACAACAGCATGAGATGACCGTATCTAATGACTTGATCGGCTGCATTATCGGCAAGGGTGGCACGAAAATTGCCGAAATACGCCAAATTTCCGGTGCAATGATACGCATTTCGAATTGTGAGGAACGCGAGGGTGGCAATACCGATCGTACAATCACGATTAGCGGCAATCCAGATTCGGTGGCATTGGCTCAATACTTAATCAACATGAGGTGAGTACCATACTATGCTGTTATAGGCGTCAAACAAACAAATTCAAAATTAAAAAAAAAAAAATTAATAAAAAAAAAAGTTTTAAAATTAACAAAAAAAAAAATATTACAAAGAAATTTTAAATTAAAAAAAATATATAAAAAATTTTAAAATAAAAAAAAAAATTTTTGAATAAAAATAAAATTTTAAAATTTATATTTTTTTAATAAAAACTATATATAAAGGAATTAAAAAAATAAAAATAGTGCTAATTATTATTAAGTATATGCATTAACCCTTATTGTATATTCTCTATATATATCTACCTCTAAAAAAATTAAACATATCTATATTTTGTCGAATTGAATTGCAAATTAACAAAGAATTTCAACAAAAAACACAAAACACATTGTACGCTGTTAATAATTATGACGTAATTGATTCACAAACACACGCACACACCGTTCGTTCAAACAATCGAAACATTGATCAATCAATCGAGCAATCAATCAGTCAATTGAAATGAAAAATAAAAATGAAAAAAAAAACGTATCAAAACAAAGAAAATCGAACATTTTCGTACTTTCACTATTTGAAATCTATGCTAAGTATACGCAAATTAACATACTATCTACATATATATAATATGCGGTATAAGGAGGTTCTTTGATGATGATAAAAATTAAACAAAACAAAAAAAAAATTACTAAAAACAAACAATATTAATATTATGAAATGAAAAAGTAAATGCGTTCTAAAATGTCACAACTACATGGCAACTCTGTATTAGCAGAAAAAACAACTTTTGTTAACTGTACTTTTGTTTTCACTAACTTTTACTACCAAAAAATGCGTAGCGCATAGCTAACAGGCAGCCTGTGCCTAAACTTAAACTTTAGTAAACCCTTAGAATTAAGCCACTTCATAGGCGCCAAGCGCACAATAACAACCATAACTAAGGTCAAAGGTTAATTTGTGCTGCCCAAAAGAAAAAAAGCACACGACTGTAGTAAAAAGCTGTCCACCTTATTTATACATGTACTTAGAGGCATAAATAATTGTGTACCTTGCAGTGCAACACTGCGCGTAAATAAATTAAAGTAGAATTTATCAAATAGTATTAAAAAAAAATATTAAAAACAAAAACTACAACACAAGTATACATATATTAGTTTCGAAAACTTGTAAAGTGAAGCAACTTTGTTACTACTTGGTATAAACAACTTCTAACTACCATTTTGTCCCCAGCACCATTTTCCCAACGAAAAAAAAGCGCAAGCAAAAATTGAGAGCGAAAGTAAATACAATTTTTGATTACATCAATTAATATATAATTTTTCCTTTAATTTACGCACCAAATTATTAATGTGCACTAATTTTTCAACATTTTCTTTGAAACAAAAGCAAAACAAAAAATTTGCCGTATATTTTCAATTTTGTTTTGAACCGTTTTAATATGAAAACCTTACTTAATTTAGCCTTTCATAACAGTAAACCACCAAAAAAAAAATATATACATTTAAATAAATATGAAAATACTTTTTTCGAAAAACCCACTCATCTCCATACCACTCAAGCGCAACAAATAAACCAAGCCCCAAACCCGTTAAAGCAGCAAAAAGAAAACATAAACATAGCAACCAAACACCCACAGCCTACCGCCACGTTTGCGCACATTTTTTTCTACATTTATTACGATCCAATCAAAAGCAGTCAACCCAACCAAAACTCAAACCAGAAACTCACCACTAATATGTTATTTCACGTACCAAAAATCCATAGAGTATATACTACTACTGCCTACTAATTTTTCAACAACATTTTAACTATTTTATCCAAGTAGTGTGATATCCCGCCTCCCACAGCACCAACTGCAGGTGTATAATTTTTACCAAACTCAACACCAACACCCGTCACTGCTAATGTGCTCCTCCTAACCAAAAAAAAAAAAAATATATATATACAAGTTATATATTAAAAAAAAATTCATTTTGTAAACTAAAAAAACTTGCGCTCACACTAAATATTATAAACACCTTAAAGCAAATACTACTTGCCACTGTATTAAACTTTTGTATACCAATACTCCTACATATGTATATGTAACATTAGTATGTATGTATGTATGTAAGTAGAGCAGCGCCCAAATCCCCAAATACATTTAATAATAATAATAATTTAAAAAAACAATGTAAAATCGCTGCCACAATTGGCAGCAGCCATGGCAAAACGCCGCCGCGCTGTCACACAAGCACACACAAATCGTACGTCTCGTCTCATAAAATATTTATATATATATGAATATTGTTGTATGTACGTTGTTGCTACCCATGGGATCACGGCCGTGTATGCAAATCAACGTTCCATAAAGTATACATAACTATCATATAATCCATACCAGTTATGCCAGTACGACCCCGACCCAGCCCCCTGCCTGTCATTGACCAACCCAATATCACCCGCTAAACGCTCGTATAAAACGAAAAGCATCCACAGAAATATAATAAGTCATATTGAAACGTGAGCCTATTTGAATGCAACAGCGTGTGTGGTATAAGAAATATATATTTTGTATACATACGTACATATTTTACAAGAGAAATCAGAGAAGTTTGTAGATCGTTAGATTTAAAAAAAATTTTTTTTTTTCAATTTTGAGTTCTAATTACTTCTAAAGTAGTTGTAAACAATTATGTATGTCGATAGTTAGTTTTAGGTTACTTTTAAAGGTTTTTTCTTAGACGTGCACCATAGATGTAGTTCTCAACCTAGTATTGAACAATTTACCAACGAAAATTGTAGAATATACAAGTTTTAGACAGCTAAAAGGCTAAATATAAATATCGCATGGTTCAAGTCTCGAATCAACTTTCTTCGTTAGTTAGCTCTTAAAAGTGTTGGGTAGCTCATCGATAAATATAAATTTTATATGGTTCGTGTATTAGGTAGCTAAATTTTGAAAGGTTCAAGTCTCGAACTAACTAACGTAAAAGTAGATCCTAAGAGTGTTGGTAGCTAACACGTTATATATAAATTTGGAAAAATTCGAAATCTTTTCGTTCGTGCGAAATCTTTTTTAATATACTGCAAAATTCATAAATAGCTTTCAATACTATGATAAAAGGTCAGGTTTAGGGTCCGATTCATGCTCAAAAATAACTAAGAACTTCGTATAGTACACGAACAATAAATGAACAATACAAGTATTCTACCCACAAGAAACAAGGTTTATTAATTGATTTGGGCACTATGTGATTAGAATCTCTCTTTTTAGTTTTAACTATTAGAATAATTAACATTTTTGCATTTTATTAATTAATAAAAATATTTACGAAACCCAAATTAATTTCAGAAAAGTACTACCTGTTGAAATTTTTAGCAAAATATTTTTATTTATAGTTCAGTTCTTATATTTTTAATATGCAGAAGTTTCAGGCATTTCTCGATTCCAACACAGCGTTGCCACTGCATTCAAAGACGGCTTACTCAGAACCCCTCATTAAATTCCCTCAAACAAAAAACCATCACCGACCACCGCCACCACCCACACACTTGTACCATTTTGAACGCCAAACCGCAAAAAAAAAAAAATATATATATATAAATAACATTTAAAGAATCCTCCTTGTAAAACAAAAATCCAGCAAATTCCCTCCTTAACCCTTAACGCAAAAATATCATCAAATTCCAAATTTTTAAAAATTTACAAGAAAAAAAATATATATAAAAAAATGCAAAAACCAACTCAATTCCACAAAATCACCATTAAAAATTACAGTCATCACCTTTCAATGAACAACTAAACCTTATCTCATCACCACATACAAACAATATCCTATTGTCCTTTTTTCTCTTTCTCTCTCTCTTTATCCCTTTTCCAGCGTTGAACTGCAGAAGGCCAATCTACAGGAGGCGAACAATGGCGGCGCCAATGGTCAAGCTAACAATGCTAGCAACAGCAACAACAACAACGCCAATGTCACTAATGGCGCCAGCAATGGCAATGCCAATACGAACAGCAGCAACAACAGCAACAGCGGTGGTAATCACATAAGCGGCGCAACCACCTTAGGTGGCAACAACAACAGTGCTGGCAGTGGCGGCGGTGGCGGCAGCAATGGCAGCTTGAATCAGACCGGCGGCAGCAATCACAGCAGCAATAATAGTTTAAACAATTTAAATACGAATGCGAGCAATGCGAATAACAGCAATAATAACAACAACAATACACAACACTCAACCACAGCCATGACAATGACAAACAACAGCAGCAATAGCAACAGCAACAATACAAGCGGCGGCAACAATTTAACCTTAAGCACAACTTCCAACAATCCAACCAATCCATTTTCCACTTCATTGCCATTTTCGAATACACCAAATCCATTTGCCAACTCCACCACAGTCAGTTCGCTAGCAACAGCTATACCGTTAGCACAATTGCTGGCCAAACCGGGCGCTTTGAATGCGCTCTCCAGCCTAACGGCGCTCGGCGGCCTCACCGATCTGTTGGGCGGCTTGGCCACGCTCAATGGTCCACCCATACAGACGACCGGTGTACATCGCACCAAAAGTTTCGCATCGACACGTTTTCGCAGTCATAATCATGCCGATGGCGGTGCTGATAGCGAAAAGACGCGCAATAAATTCAATCCATATTAGAGTAGTTGAGCATGTATAATGAAAAGTAGGTGTGAAAGTTGAAGAAGTAGTGGTATGTGGAAGCGTTTTGAGATTGTAGTGAAAGCATGTAAGCTTTTAGAATTTAAAGTGACTGAAAGCTTTTGAATTTTGTAGGTATGATTTAACAGCTTAATCCTGTACGAGTGAAAGCTTTCAAATTATGTGTAAAGCTTTAAAAGTATATACAAGTGAAAGCTTACAAATCTTGTATAAGTGGAAACTTACAAATCATGTATAAGCGAAAATTTTTAAACCATATGTACGTGAAGGCTTTCAAATCGTGTGTAAATGAAGGCTTTTAAAACATGTGTACGTGTAAACTTTCAAATCATGTGTA